AAATGGGATCCTTTTTAGCTGAATCAGGAGAGAACCGTTGGGTCTCTTCCACTTGCTCTGACTCCTTCTAACAAACCCAGGTTTGAAGGGGGAGGCGGCAGGAGGACTTCTCTGGTGTTGGTAAATAAAAGTACGGCCTCTTTTGCAGGGATGGGATTCAACCGGTTCAGACCGGTTCAAGCGAACCGGTAGTGCCTATGAGCATTTGGCCCCGTCCACCCACCCTGCTCTTTCCTGTGCTTTATTTCCTGTTTTTCTTTTTTTATTAGCACAGCTGATTCGCGGGGCAGAGTGGTTTTGCTGCGCCTCCGCTGTTTTAGTCCCAGGGGCTGCAGTAGAAGGTAAGAAATTGAGTTGGGAAAAGGGCTTTTTAGACTGTGGAGCCATGATAGGCGAACCTATGGCACACATGCCAGAAGTGGCATGCAGAGCCATCTCTCCGGATACGCCAGCTGTTGCCTATTGCTCTTCCAGATTCCGGTGCGTGCATGGCCTCTGGCCAGCTGGTCTTCACACGCGGGAGCACCAGAAAACGGAAGAGCAGCTCCCGGCAATGCATGAGTGCGGGAGGAAGCTGAGCTTCCGGTTTCTGATGTGCCATCTGGTCTTCATGCATGCATGTGTACCAGAAACCAGGTGGCCGGCGTGCATGCACGCACCAGAAACCGGAAGCTGAGCTTCCTGGCGTGTGCATGCGTTGCAGGGGAGTTGCTACTCCAGTTTCTGGTGCTCCTGTGCGTGCGCCGAGGAGCTGTTCTTCCGGTTTCCGGCGCACACATGCGCCACGGAGCTGCTCTTCCGGTTTCCGGCATTCCCCCACATGCACGCTCCCGTTTTGGCACTCGGTGCCGAAAAGGTTCGCCAACACTGCTGTAGAGCATGCGCGCAAAACGCGCTTTCACCAAATCAATTGTTACACTGGTTGAATCGCACCGCTGCTCTTTTATCAGCTGATGAGAAACTGAAATATGCAAAAAAGATGGCGGTTGAGGAACAGGCAGTCCAGAGAAAGCTTAAAAAAAAAAAAAGCATTGTGGACGTGACGCACGACCGCAGTTCCGCAAAGATTTTTTTTTTTAATTGTTGGGGTTTTCCTAAAGGGGGCGGGGGAGTTTCCCCAACCGTGTCGGCTTTAAGATGACTGACTTCCAACTCCCAGAATTCCCCAGTCACGCGAAGAATTTCCCCAGGCAGCCCAAGATTTCCCAGATAATCTGGGAGTTGAAAGTCCACTCTGTCTGAAAAGTTACCAAGTTTGAAGAGCCCTAAAGCAATGCTGCCAAAATTACAAACCCATCACGGATAATAATAAGTGTGGATGCATGAATAGCCAGGAGCGTGTTAGATTTTCAGCATGCTTTTTTTATTTATTATTATTATTATTATTTAAATGTCAATCCTAATGCAGCCCAGGAATTAAGCATGTTATGGCCAGTTTATTTTAGTGGGAATCAGTATGCCTGACTTACAGCTGCAGAAGGTTGTAACAATCAAAGCGATTTAAGATTGCCATCTTATGCAGGCTTCACAAAAGGCGGACTCTTCTTTGAAATCTGAGAAAAAAGATGGATTAAGGCGGCATTATTTTTTTTTATACCCAGATATTAATTCTCTCGAAAGCTGGGGAGGAGATTTCCAATGCCACACAGGTACAATTCTAGCACAAGAAAACGTCTGCAAATAGAATCTCCTTCTGTTTGCTTGTCTGAGGAAAAGCATCCCAGGGAAGGCTTGCTTTATTTATTTATTATTTTTAAATCCCTCCCCTATTATTATTATTATTTTATGCTTAAATACTCCTTCCTCCTCCTATTTCCCCTACAACAACAGCTTTGTGAGAGGGACAGGCCCACGATCACTCACCTGGATTTCGTAGCTAAGATGGAACCACAACCCCAAGCACTTGGATTCCCTTGAATTTTCAAGTTAATTTCAGGTTTAAAAAAATTTTTTTTTCTAGCCTGGAGCCTTTGCCGCTAGACCAAACTGGCTATTGTTTTGTATGTAGAGTCTACCAACAAAGTCACCATCTTTGGAATCCAAGAGGGCACCAGCGGGCCATTTCAAACAACTGTTTGAATGCCCCAATTTTGCAAGGTAAATCTTTGCCTGTCGGTGACTTAACAACTTGAATGCAGTTCCTTTAACAGGAATAATCTGCCAAATAGCACTTAGACTTATATACCACTTTACAGTGCTTTACAGCCCTCTCTAAGCGGTTTAGAGTCAGCCTATTAGTTTACTTTATTGTCATTGCACCTCGTACAACGAAATCAAACACCATCTTCAGTGCACATCATGACTATGAAAATAAACACAAACGCACATCCTTCACCCTTCACACATTGAACCGCGAACCCCCGACACCACACCAACACTGCACTGTACAGGAGAATTCAAAAGAGCAATTGCCCTGGGGTAGAAGCTGTTTTTCAGTCTATTTGTCCTTGTTTTTATTTTTCTGTACCGTCTGCCGGATGGTAATAGTTCAAAAAAAGGGTTCCCAGGATGAGATGGATCTTTGAGAATGTTTTGAGCTTTCTTAAGGCAGCGGGAGCTATAAAGCTCTTCCAAAGAGGGGAGAGGGCAACCTATGATCCTCTGGGCAATGACGTTAACCCTCTGTAGCGCTGCCCTATCTGCCACCGTGCAATTGGCAAACCATACAGAGGTGCAATAAGTTAAGATGCTCTCTATGGTGCAGCGGTAGAAGGTCACCAGCAGTTTTTCATTCAGTTGTTTTCTGAGAAGTCTCAGGTAGTATATAACCTCTGCTGGGCCCTTTTGACCAGGGCTGCAATGCGAGCACCCTATTGCTCCCAACAATCTGGCTCATTTTACCGACCTCGGGAGCGTGGAAGTCTGAGCCAACTTGATCCCTGTCTCATGGGACTGCCAAATTTGACAGTCCCTTCTGGATTGCTCAAAGCAGAATGTCATGGAATCTGGTGTAGAGATTTGAGGCTGGACCAGATTTGAAAACGAGGAATCCTTGATGCTTTCTGAGCTTGGTTGTTTTCTTGCAGACGTTGCGTTGTTCAGACTAGGTAACACCATCAGTGCTCTTTAAGATTCTCCTTTATAAGATTTGAATTATATATACAGAGGGGTGTTTTTAAACATGGACCTTCCATGTGGGTGGAGCTGCCATTTGGAAGGCCCCCTGTTGCGTGGCTGAGGTCCCGTCTTTAAAAGCAAAGGGTGTTTGCAAAACAATCCCATTATATAGGTAGTTCTCAAGTTAGAACTGTATGGGAGTAAGTCATAAAATAGGTCAGCCACATGACCAAGAAATTCACCTTTGTTTAGTAAAAGGGGTTTTGTCATGCCCTTGTCATGTCAGACTCTGGGGGAGAGGAGGAACAGCCAACAGGGAGTGGAGGTGTGGCTCCAGAGGTTGTGGAGGAGGCTGGGGAAGGGCAGAGGCCGGCTGGGCAGTCAGAGGAAGAACCAGGCCCATCTCCTCTTCATCCTAGGACACACAGGGAGGAACGGAGAAGGAAACAACTTGGCTTACGAGAGAGGAAGCGGCCATGATCCCCTCATTGGTTGCAGCCTTGGAGAATAGTATATAAGAGAGACGATTACAACACAGCGTTGCCTGAAGCAAAGTGTGTTTTATTTTGGGCTAAACGATCTTGGTTGGTGTCCTTCTTGTGCCTTGTTACCTCCTTGAAGTTGGTAATCACTTGTCCTAGTCCGTTGTGGAATTTCCATCATTGTAGTTTGTTTTGGGTTTTTTTTATTTCACTTATATCTGCTCATTAAGTTCAGACTGTATTGCTTTCTTTGGAAGACTATTTTTGAATAAGTTTTATCTCCAACTGAGAATTATTGAACAGTGGGGCCAAGTTGGAGGCATTATAAAGGACATTTATTTATGTTTTGGATTTTGTTACGTTTGTGTTGATCATCACAGGTTTTGCCAGGACAAAGAATCTGCTTAGTGCTTTTGGGGGAAGCCTAGGTCAGAACAATAAGTGCAGGATTGCGGGTCTCACAGGACTCCTGAGCCCAAATAGGGGCCGTGTGAGAATATTACACAACAGAGATTCAGTGGGAGTTATCGTAGGCATTTGAATATTGAGAGATTTGAGGGTTACGTCTTATTCAATTCAGGCTTCCTGTAAATTAGAAAAAGGAGAGCTAGTTTGGTGAAGTGGTCAAAGGCATCAGATTAGAAACTTGGCAGGCTCTCGGTTCCAGTTGGGTGGCCTTGGGCCAGTCCTTCCCTCTCAGCCCTAGAAAGGAGGCAATGGCAAACGTTTTCTGAAAATATTGTCGTTGTTGTCCCTGGGAGTCACCCTTATTCAAATCAAAAGTCTCTAGCCACATCTCAGAAAAAGTAAATTGGTTTATCAGAAATTGACATGTTGGCGCATGGCTGGGTGCAGCTGATACTAAATCACGTTATACATTTCCCCCTTGACCCTGGTTTTTCCCCCACCCCCTGGATTTGACTTCTCCAATGGGACACATCCGTCTCCAAGAGTCATCCATCATGTTCTCCATTAACCTTCTTATGCTCCAACAACTTTGGGCTGCCGAGGTGATTATCTAGGCATTTCAGGAATGCCTTGTTTCCACCCCACCCCCTTTTTCTGGCAGCTTTTTAGTTGACATCAAGATTGACTCCAAAGTGCACATGCACAAACACAAACACACACATACACATGCCGTAAATATTTTAAAATATTTCTTAACCATATTTCATCCGGTGAAATCATTGGGGTAAAAACGCACAGACCGGTTAATTTTTTATTTTTTTAAAAAATCACATTTCTTAAACCATTTTGGCTTGTGGCAAGCCCCTTCTTATAATGGCTGACATTTATTGGTTAACGATGGAAATGAGCTGCTTTTATAAAAGAGTTTGAAATAGAGAATGAGGGTCTTATGCATCTCTACGGTGATAAATATTAAATTTTCTCAAGGAGCCTCGGTTCTTGAAGCTACTTGGATGGTTGTGAGATTTTTCTGGGAACTGTTACACAGAATGGTACTGTAGTGTAAAGGGATCGAGAGAAGGATGGATTTAGGTCATTTACCAAAGGTACTTGAAATCGAAATCTATAAACAGGATTTTCTCAAATGGCCATCATGTTCATCCATCCTTGCCTGAGTTTTAAACACTGACAATTTATTGAGTTTCTGATTCTTTTGTACGTTATGTATATTTTACATTTAGATTGTGTTTGTTATCCATACTTAGTTTAGGTTTTCACTATTTATATTACATTAGTCTCTCTCTCTTTTTTTTTTTTTTAACCCTGAGGTCTTTCCAGCACAACAAACTTGTTAAGTTATACTGTAAAACCCAGCACTTTGATTCCCTTTGAAATGCAAGGTAATTTTCAGATTTTTTAAAAAAAGGCAACTGAAAACTTATCACTGTAATTAAACCCTTCTGAAAAACCTGCAGTGGAAGGGAGAAATGTCTCTTGGACCGAGTGAATCTGTTCTGAAAATGTTGCAATGCAGATAGTCCTCGACTTACGATTTGCTTAGTGAGCGTTCAAAATTAAAAAACGGCCCTGAAAAAAGGGACTTATGACCATTCACACTTATGGCTGTTGAAGCATCCCCATCGTCCTGTGATCACAATTCGGCAACTGTTTCGTATTTATGACAGTTGCAGTGTCCCGAAAGTCATGTGATCAACTTTGGACACCTTTTGCCAAGCAAAGTCGATGGGGAAGCCAGATCCACTTAACAACGGTGACCCCCCCAAAAAATAAAATCCCATAAAACGGGGCAAAACTCATTTAACAACTGCCTCGTTTAGCAACAGAAATTTTGGCCTCGATTGTGGTTGTGAGTCAAGGACTACCAGAACTTTAGAAGAAAATGGGACTTGCAAATGGAAGACTCCTTGAAACAGTGACGTGGCACAACGTGTGAATGCAAACACGATTGCTTCTCAGCAAACAGTCCCAGTTTCCCAAACTTACGAGATTCCCCCACCCTCCTCTTAACTTGTTCCTTGATCTTGCCCTTTTGTAGGAATTGTGTCAAATCTGTGCTTTTGGAAAGTAGCTGGTTCCTGTGTAGCTGATTGCCTTTTTCATATGCATGGGTGGCTTTAAAAGGATTGTACTACGGTAATCATCTTTTAGTGTAATGGGAAGATGCTTTGCAAATAAAAGAGCAACGAAATGGTCATTTCTGTCCACAGGTTTTAACATTTCTGTGTTCTACTAGACACACACACACACACACACACACACACACACACACACACACAGAGTTCAGAGGTCTTATCTAAATAGAGAAACAGAACAACCAAAAGCAAGGGGTGGGGGGAAACCAATGGGGATTGTAGCGATTTCTGACTTCTGCCAGCTGCCCCATTCCTTGTGCTGGGGGATTCATAAATCCTTCCCACCCTCCCTCTCTCCCCTTTCTTTCTTTCTCTCTCTCCTTCTCTTCCTCCCTCCCTCCCTCCTTCTCATCTCCTCTCCCTCCCTCCCTCTCTATTTTCCCCCCTTCTCTCTTCTTCCCTCCTCCCCTCCTCTTCATTCCTTCCCATCTTCCCTTCCTTCTCTCTTTCTCCCCCTTCTCATCTCTATTTCCCTCTTCCTCCTTCCTCTTCCCATCTCTTCCACCCACCTTCTCATTCCTTCTCATCTTCCCTTCCTCCTC